AAAAATAGAAATATAATAATAATTATCATAATTATAATAATAATATTATTATTATTATTGTTTTTATTTATAATATAATAATAATAACAAACATGATAATAATAAATAGCATAATAATAATAATAAAGTAATAATAATAAACACAAACATACTAATAATTCAAATAATAACAATACTAATATTATTATTATTATTATTAATATTTATTATTATTATTATTATTATTATTATTATTATTATTAAAGATATTATTAAAGATATTATTAAGAATATTATTAAAAATATTATATTAATTAAAGTCTTACTTCTCCGGGCAGTTCGTGAGTAAGATAGAGGGAGGGTTTAGCGGTTTTGTCAGACCTCCAAATCTGTAAGTGCGAATTAAAGCCGACGGCAATTAAATTTGAGTCAGAAATATCAAACGACGAAACAAAACCGCCGAAAGATGCAAATGAATGCATGCACTCGTAGCGGCGTAAGTCAAACAGCTTCCATACACCATCTACACCTGTATATATACACACAAACCCTAAACCCTAAACCCTAAACCCTAAACCCTAAATAATAAATCATAAATCATAAATCATCAATCATATATAGTATATAATAAATCACTAATAATATACTCTAAACCATCCATACACCTTCAATTCTAATACTTCACCGTTAGCCACTCATCTCTAAACCCTAAACCCTAAACCCTAAACCACAAACCCTAAACCACAAACCCTAAACCCTAAACCACAAACCCTTGAAGCGACGTACCTCCAGTAAGCATTATGTTTTCTTTGGCTGCAACAGCTGTGACTTTGCCGTGGTGGCAAAACATTTCTACTGCAGGCTGCAACTCACATAAACCCTAAACCCTAAACCACAAACCCTAAACCACAAACCCTAAACCCCAAACCCTAAACCCCAAACCCCAAACCCCAAACCCTAAAGCCCAAACCCTAAACCCCAAACCCCAAACCCCAAACCCTAAAGCCCAAACCCTAAACCCCAAACACCAAACCCTAGACCCCAAACCCCAAACCCTAAACCCTAGACCCCAAACCCTAAACCCTAAACCCTAAACCCTAAACCCTAGGCGGTCGACGAACTTTGCTGAGGTTTGGGGTCCACAAGGAGACTGTTCCTTTCGAGTGTCCGAGAGCGGCGACGCCTTTAAACTGATTTAAACACATTACGTCGCACGGGCCTCTCTTCGTGCGGTGCTTCGCAACCACCTGCCCTGTAGATATGTCGTAGTAACTGAAATAATAAACGCAAACCACAAACCCTAAACCCTAAACCCTAAACCCTAAACCCTAAATTCTAAAAGTATATATATATTGCGCTAGAGAGGGGAAAGACTTAGTCGAGAGGAAACGAAATTCATTAAAATATGCAGTGGTATACTAAACTCTAAACCCTAGACCTTCTCTTGCATCTTCAGAGACGGTGGCTAAGGAGCCCTTCTCCCTCAAACCCTAAACCCTAAACCCTAAACCCTAAACCCTAAACCCTAAACCCTAAACCCTAAACCCTTACCATAGATCTCCGAATTCGCCAGTGGAGACCATCAGGTAATGATAAGGGAGGAAGTCTAAGCAGTATGTTAGCTGCAACAAAGCAGAAAAAATAATGCATGCAATAAGTCTTCACTCTTTTGTTGTTGTTGTTGCTGCTGTTGCTGCTGCTGCTGCTGCTGCTGCTGTTGCTGCTGATGCTGCTGCTGCTACTGCTGCTGCTGCTACTGCTGCTGCTGCTGCTGCTACTGCTGCTGCTGCTGTTTCTGCTGCTGCTGCTGCTAGTATTTCTAAGTATTCCTGTCTACGTAGAGTCGTGTTGCTGCTGTTTTTCTTTTAGTTTTTTATTGCTGCAGTTTATTAATGCATTTATTTATTTGTCTATCTAATTGTTTGTTTCTTTATTTGTTTATTTGTATATTCAGTTATGTTTGCTTGTATTAACTAACTAAGTAGTTGCATAGCTAGCTATCCAGTAGTATAGGCAGCTAGCTAGCTCGTAGTGCAGCTATCTGGCTAGCTAGTAATATAGCTAACTAGCTAGCTAGCTAGTCGTACAGCTAACAGCTAGCTAGAAGTATAGCTATCTAGCTAGCTAGAAACATAGCTATCTAGCTAGTAGTTTAGCTAGCAAGCTAGCTAGCTAGCTAGCTAGCTAGCTAGCTGAGCCTCACCATGAGGTCTCTGAGGCAATGAATTTCAATGCCCTGGTGGTCGTAGATGTAGACGTATTTCTTCTGGGCTGCACGCCAAACCCTAAACCCTAAACCCTAAACCCTAAACCCTAAACCCTAAACCCTAAACCCTAAACCCTGTCCCCAGTTGTTTGTTTGGGAGGTGTATTTGGTGAATGCATGCAA